GGAATTTTAAGAAAACTGTGACCATTAATTAGATAAAAATTTTATGGTCATTAAAACTAGAATATAGAAATTAGCAAAAGAGAAAGTGTGTATGAGAATGTGATACTGAAAATAAGGATTATATCAATATTATGATTATAACAACTCCAAATGTGTGAATATGAGTAAAGATCAGAAGAGTATACAAGGAAAAGTTAAAAATCAATTTGTTATATCATAAAGGGTGATTGGATAATTACATCCTTTCTTTTTTGTGTGATATAATATTGCTTGTGGAATAAATTTAAAACTTGACAAGAACAAATGAATTGCATTAATCTGATCGACTCCAAAATAAAATATCCCAAATGCATCGGTCTTTACCTACCATGGAACAAGGGCTATTTCCCAGGCAAGTTCACCAAAGGCAGGAACTCTGTATGCAAAGCAAGACTCAAATTTCACATGAAATGAGACTGTGAACCATCCACAGCATATCCATGTACTCTGAACCATTATTCCGTGCCCAGACCTTTAAAAGTTGACTATCTAGTGTGTGATGTTAAGGATTGTTCATTGATATCTTTTTAACTGTACCACATCCATTATTTCTACAGGATTTCATGACACACTACCAAATCACGTTGTTTCAATACAGGCAGTTCTCAACTTACAAACACCTGACTGACAAAAACCAAAAATAAAACCAGCTGCTGCTATCCCTGGGTTGTCGCCTTCTAACACTACCAGAGGTCTTGCTGATACTCCCAGAGAGACTCAGCTGTTGTGAAAAAAAAAAAAAATCTTTTCGAGAATTTGAAGGGAGGAAGGGTAGAAGCAGTGAAAGCAGACCAGCTAGGGAAAGCACACAAAGCTGGTGCTTACCCTCGATAGTCCTCAGTCAACATTTGATGAATGAATGAATGAATTTCTACGTTTCACTCCCGTAGTTTGAGTTTGATTACTCTGCCCTATGCAATTCCAACACCCAATGACACACCTCTTTCTTGGGCTCCTGATTCACGGAGCTGGAGCTACTGCAGGGAACTGATACCCAGAAACAGACAGCTGCGACCAACAGGCTGTCCACTTGGCAGTTCACAGGACAGAGCCCAAGCCCAGACCAACACTAAAAGATCTATTCCCAAAAGTACTGGCAGAGAGCACGTGATCTACAGAGAGAAAAGACAAGACATAAATGGTGAAAGAAAGTCCAAGTTGAAAGTGTAGCAAAGCTTATTAATAAGGATACCAAATGAGTGATCAGAGAAATGAAGTCTTTGTATGATCTAGAAGTAAAGATGGCATCAAGAGGACGGTGGGCTGGGCCTGGTTTGGGGCTCATCTTGTGACCCCTCAGGGCATCAGTTTGATGCATTACTCCAACTTCACTTGGATGGCCGTAAAGAAGCAGAAATACTTGACACACATGTGAAGTCTAGTGACTTCTCAACTCATTTCACCTTATATACATATTCATCTTCTGAAATTTTGAGCCACTTCATTGCTCAAAAATCTTCCTGGCTCCTTCTTACCAAATGAATTAGAGAAATCACAGAATCTCAGAGTTTGAAAGAGTTTAAAGGACTTTTAGTTCAATGATCCAATGATAGGGGTAAAGCAACTTCACTCTTACAGTCAAAATCCATCAAAATATGGTCCAAGCTGTACCAGTTATGATTCTCTGATCATATCCCTGTACATTTCTTGCTTCCTGGCTTTCACTCATGGCTACTATGCTTGCACAACTAAAGGGGGCACCATTTATATAATACTCTATGTGAATGGCACTCCCCAAAGTTTAGCAATATTCAACTCCTGAGCAGCCATAATGGGTGATCCAACTTCCACTTGTTACTGTCTCTCCACCTAGAATGCCATCCCCCAACCCCGTCTCTGATCCTACAGATGCTAACTGTTCCTCAAGGCCCATTTCTTCCATAAAACCCTTCCTGGTTCCTACAGTTGTTTATAATATTTTTCTCTGAACTTTCCCTTTATTTGGTTTATACCTCTTTTTGCATATTCTGTCTTATAGTATAATGAGTTAGTTATGCATGTCTTATTCCAATACCAGATTGTATGTATGCTCCTTGAGAATGAGAATAGCCTAGGATTCACCTTTCTTTCTACACAGTTCCATTGCCAAAACCAGAGTAGGTACTTAACTGTTGGCTGGGACTTTTGATTGGAAAAGAAACAGATGATTCATAAATTAGAAAAGTTTGAAGAAGTAGTTTAGATTGGAATGGAATATAGTGATCAGAGACATTGGACTAAATTTTGATAATTTGGTGTTTTCAGGCCCGCTGGATTGGAGGGAGTGTTAAACAATCGGATGTCACTGTCAAAGACACACTTTCCCTTAATTCAAAATTTTGCCTAAGACCAAAACTGTACTTATGGAAAAAGAAGACTTTCTCTTCACCTCTTCTTCCCTCCAGTAAGACACAACCCTCTGACAAAATGAACTCCAAATTCTATACAATCAGTTAAAACACAGGTTTGAAACAAAGTACAAAGTAACCAAACACAATTTAACCTGTTTTATATAATATCAAAAAACTGGGTGTTACATGCAACTAACGAATCATTGAACACTATACCAAAAACTAATGATGTACTATATGTTGGCTAATTGAATTTAAATAAAAAGAAAAAAGAAATAAAATACATGCTATTTAGGGATTAAAAAAACAATTTTCCTTTTTTAGTTAACAAAACTCTACTAAAGGACAAGTTGAAAGAATACAAATCTAAAAGATTTTGAGAGCAGGCATACCACTTTAAAGGTATCTAAATATGGTTTTCTCTATTATACAGAGCCCTTGTGTCTGCCTAGCATATAATATTCATTTTCTTAATTAGTATGTGTGTTAAAAATATCTATTTTAATAGATGTATCATGCTCCAAGGAAACCATTATGATCTATTAAAGGACAATTAACCATATAAAATATGATTCAGCATTAACTATATAGAAAGAGACATCTTCAAATTAGAATATACAGATTTTTATATATATATACAGAAATCTATCTAATTATTTTTGAAGACTTTAAAATATTCTGTGTTCATGTGGCATCAGTATAATGCATATTGCTGATGATTCAAAATATTTTTGTATATAACTATATATAAGGGCACTGATAATCTGAAAAATAAATCCCATCCATTTAAAGACAATTTAACTATGAATACAGCAGACAAAGGGACAATAATGTTAAAGAGTGGAGAACTAGAGAATGAATTGCTTACTAAGCATTTAGAATAAGACTTCACATACCAAAAATTGTTGAAATTATATATCTATATAATATATTTATATTATATTATATCTATATATTTATTTGTACTTATTATAATTTATATGTTTATATATATATGTGTATAATATATAATTATATCATATTATTTCGACATATATATAGTTATGGTACTTGGCTCTCTTCTTAGCCAGAAAATTTTCAGGGTCATTATCATGAACATAGGTTACCATAGCAAAACTATTTATTTGTTTGTTTGTTTATTTATTCAATTGGTTTACTAGAAAAACACTTGTGGAATATTTTTCCTGTAAGATAAGCAGTACATTAGCCCTGGAGATAAAGTATCAGTTGGGACAGGCATGGTCTTGGCCCTAGTGGAAGGTAGATTCTAAGAAGAAAGATCAACAAATAGCTACTATAAATTGCAGTCACACGGGAATGCCTTCTGAAACTACTAAGATGCATGCAATTACTTACCCGTCATTCAATTCCACATTGGCCTACATTTTGTTCTTCCTTTTTAAGAGCTTATGTCTGATTTTTATAGTTCGCCTATTTCCTTCTTCACTTTCAGGCTGTCAGCTTTTACTTTTGCAATTAATGTGCCATCCTTTACCAACAATACTATTCTCCTTCCGCCTAATAATGCACTGCTCCTAAACTTCTCTTGCAGAGCAGATCACCAAGCCTATTAAAATTGAGCCTAAAATAAGGACAAATAGGCTCTGCGTAAACGCTTATTAATAAGTGCTTTATGTCCTTGTGGCTTGATAAAATTATCCAGGTCTCTCTAATGTGACATTTCTATTATAATTTCCCACCTCCTCTTCCATTTCTTTATTTAAAAAATAATAAAAACAGACAAAAATCCTACACTTCTGCTTGAACTGAAAAAGTTTTTTAGTTCAAGCTGCCAGAAAAGTTTTCTTTAACCCAAGTCCTTAGAGATGGTATCATAATATACAGACCACTGTTTCTCAAAGACTGGCCCTCCTGTTGCCTGCAGCAGAATTAATCAGATTTGCTTCTTAAAATTCAGGTTTCCTATGGCCCACGTCAGATCTAGTGAATCATCGTTATAGAGCCTAAGAACTTGAATTAATTTTAAAGCACCTTGGGAGCCTGTTGAGCATGATAAGGCCAGAAAACATGCATCCGAATAAGCAAAGAGTACTTATGGAAGATGTCAGTCAGTGTCCTAAAGAGCCGAGCCCTCTATTTTACTATCAGCCTGTAACACTGGAGTGCCACTCTGCAAAACACTGGATAAAATTAAGGATAAAAAGTTTAAAAAAAGAATCACACAAAATTTAAAGGCCACCTCTGCCCAGGGAGCTTCTCTTGTAACCAGAAAGACAAAACACAGACATAAAAAAAAAAAAAATCATTAAAAGCATACACAGGCAGCATTCAGGAGGAGGGGATGTGTGCACAGCAAGCGGGGCAGAGTCAAGGACTGCGCAGAATATTGCTGGAACTCAGAAAGGAAGACTTCCAAACAAGTTTGGGGCAGAATTTAAAAAGAGAGACTTTTTTTCAAGTGTGGGTTTCTGAAGAAGTGCAGAGATTGCCAGAGGGCATTTAAGATCAAGGAGAAAATATATATAATCATATCTCTTGGTACCAGAGTCAACACAGAGAAAAAAAGAAGTGCCCCAGTGCAGGATTATAAAAAAGCTGAGATATTGGCTTGGAAAAATCTCCCTGAAAAGAAGCTTTTACAAATATATATTATCTTTCTAGACAGACAGAGGAGGTGTTTTATCCCCAGTTTATAGATGAGGAAACTAAGAATCATGTGAGACCCTTCTCCAGAGTTCTTATTACAGGGCAGAGCGGGTCCTTTCCTCCCCTCAGGGATTTCCTTGCCCAGCCTGACACTGCCCCCAATAGAAGGGTCACGAATTCACTACCTGTCCTTCAAAACAGTAAGCCATTCAAAAACATCATATTTCTCCCTCTTTCCACTTCAAGAAGCCAGGAAAAATACTGTATGTGTGTGCGTGTGTGTGCATGAATACACATGTACGCACAAGAGTGTGTGTGTGAAGGAGGTGTCACTGACCAATTTAACTAACCACTTATTATTTCTTAATAAATGCATTAGCACATTTTAGTATTCTCATGAATGCTCCAGACCTAACATTTATGGGAAATTATGTTGAACAGTTAACATCAAAGTCTCTTTGAGTTGTGAACAAATGATCATCTGAAATCACCACACTGGGTTAGTGACACACGTTTCTTCTGGCCATACTATCTGATATGATAGCCACATGTGGCTGTTTACATTTAAATTTAAAATCTGCATTAAGTAAAATTAAAAATTTAGCTCCTCAGGTGCACTAGCCACATTTCAAGTGCTCCAAAGCCACATGTGATTAGGGGCTACCATATGGTCAGCACAAGATACAGGACATGCCCATCATTACACAGTTCCGTTGGACAGCACTGCTCCAGAGCATCCCTTTTACGGAAAACACCAAGACAGATCCCAATATACACAACAATTGTCATTTACACCTAGTTCTAAACACATGCTAACAACAGTGATCAAAATTTGTCCCTTTCGCTGGGCCTTCCCAAGTCTTGGGAGCAGAAATTCAAACCTTCCTCCTCAGAACTCCCTTAGCCCTCTCTGCTCACCATCCCTCTCTTTCACGGTTGTTCTGATGTTGGCTTGAAAGCTACGTGTGCATCCATCTCCCCTACAGTTAGCGCCTCAAGACCGTGGGGGTCCTAGTCACTGGAACACACTCTCACAGCCTAACCCGGTAAGGGTTCCATAAACACTGAGGATATTCTTAATTAAAAGAGTCCTAGGTAGAATATAGTGCTACTGGGAACATCCAGAAAATAAAAATGTAGATATAGTGGGGGGGGGATTAAAAAAGAATCTAACACATGGTAAGGTTTCATAATCATTCCTAAGGGGCAACTGCCTAACTGCAAATATTGCTGTGTGGCACATTTAGAAGGAGAAAAACCAAATGATTCTAGAAATGGGTCCGAAAATGTACTTAGCTGAGAACTCAGAAGAGGATAGGGGATGGGCTACCTAACACCCACCCTCAGGCATCAGCCAGCACACAGAGGTTGGCCCCTTGGCCCCTTACCAGTGTGCAGGATGACAAACCCAGTGCTCACGGTGACCTACGGAGGCTGGAATGCAGAGCTTAGGAGGAGCTTTTCGAAAAGTTTGTATCAATTCAAGTCTTACTCATGCAATTACAACATCCTCAAGAATTCAAGCCTTGGCATCCAAGTGAAACTTCTACTCTGAGAATGACTACAGGATGACAAAAAAAACTAAATTGCTTTCATGTTATCATTTGAATAGTTTCAATGTATCTGAAATATGAACAAGATCTCATTGCTTTTAAAAACCTGGGGGGGGGGGAACCCACGTATCAGGACAAACTGGATATGTCTATGAGGGTGGAAACAAGGCAAAAGGAGAAGAGAAGCAAATACATTCACCGCTTAGTGTTTTGTTTCGCTGGCTCAAATGCAGTTTCCCACACTTATCTAAGCTTCTGGACACCTTCCCACAAGCCATGGCACCTAGACCAGAGGCCACCTTAGACCAGAGGAAAGGTAACTTCACAGGAAAGGAAACCAAGCAAAACAGTGAGCACAGCTGATGACGGTCGGAGAGATTCACACTAAGGAGGGAGGGGTGCGGAGGGTGGCTCTCAGAGGAAGTGAAACCTACAACAGGATTTGAGATGCATCATTTTCCACAAGAAAAGTCACCCACTCTTGCCCCATCCTCACCTTCAGCCCCATCGCTTTTGCCATTATGGCCTTTCGGTATTGTGAACCTTTTAGATTGATAAAAAGTAGCCGGCCCCGCAGAGCTTTTGGTCAGTCGAATCACCGGCAGCAAGTTGTAGATCTACATACACCTCTCCCACCAACACAACCCCAAACTTCATCAGCCTGCAGCCCTGAAACATCATCAGGCTCTTGGTATAGGAAACAAAGCACTGGGGATGTGCTCAGATTTTGCAATCATGCTACCTCCAGGCCATGGAGCATAATGGCTAAGCACCAGGGCTCCAGCATTCGCCCCCTGAATCTGGGCTTCACTGCATACCCGTGTGTAACCCTGGGCAAGCGATATACCTTCTCAGCACTTCCATTCCATCAAATTTAAGTTGTCCACCAATTCTATGACATAAACATTTTTTTTCATATTTTAACATTTCTGAAATCAAACTTACTATCAATAGCATCTTTCCATTAACTGGAAGTTTTATTGTTCTTTCTTAGAGGTACATCAAATGCCATCTTACGGGGGCACCTCGGTGGCTCCAACGGTTAAGCCACCCACTCTTGATTTCGGCTCAGGTCGTGATCTCACGGTGGAGGGATCAAACCCAGGGTCAGACTCTGCTCACTCTCGGAGTCTGCCTGAGATTCTCTCTCTCCCTCTGCTCCTCCCACCACTCACGCTCCCTAGATAGATGGATAGACAGATGAAATCTTTTAAAATAATGCCATCTTACAATTGATGGCCCCTTAGCACCTATGAAATGTGGGAGAACCTATTTCACAGAGTTTAGGTAAAGATTACTTTCATTAGTACAGCTTAAGTATTTAGAATACTGCTTGGCCCTGAGTCAGATGCTTAATTACTGTTAGGTACTAATATTAACTTTAGGACTCTGAAAATGAATGCAGTCATAAAAAATCCTCCTACTATTACCCACAAACGGTGTGTTAAAATGATAGTTAATGCAAAGGTGTTAGGGGTTGGTGGTGGTGGTTAAATGCCTACTCAAAATCTGATTTATCCCCAGGTCTTGCAGTGTGCCTGGCACATAGTAAGTTCTCAATAAATAATCGTTAACTAAATCAACTGAATATACCACACAGCCCTATTCCTGTCAAAAGCCTCCCCATAATACATAAAACACCTACTATCCCCTTAAATAAAGGGATACAGGTAGATATATGGGTCTTTAATGCCAAATTACATTTAACAGATTCCTACTTTTTAAAGACTGGGAACATGTTTCCAGATCAAAACTCTGTGGAGGTTTGCTCCTCTTGTAATTCCCCCTCTGACTTCAATTTTCCACAAATTTAAATTCTGAACCACATCTGTCAAGGCCCAATTCAAAGCTCATTTCCTCTCAGAAGACTTTTTCCCACCGTATCTTACCCGATTTGGTGCTCTTTCTCTTCCCACCCATCACATTCACCTCAGCTCTCGTACACACTTTATTTGCACCTTACTGGACAGAAAGTACTACCTGGTATTAATATATAGCGTGAGAATGGGAACTGTGTCTTGTCACTGTCTCCCCTGGAAGACCTGACAGAGAGGCAATCTGCTTTTGTTATGCATTGAATTGTATCCCACCCCCGCAAAAAAAAAAAAAAAAGATATCTTGAAGTCCTAACCCTAGCACCTCAGAATGTGACCTTATTTGGAAACAGAGTCATTGCCAATACAATTAGTTAAGGTGAGGCTATGCTGGAGAAGGGCAGGACCCTAATCCAATAGGACGGGGGATCTCATGTATGAGAAGACAGCCATGTGAGGACACAGAGACACAGAACACAAGGAGAAGAGCGTGGGAAAGATTCTTCCCCAAGGCCCTGAGAAGGAACTGTCCCTGCTGACACTTTGATTTCAGACTTCAAACATCCAGAACTCTGAGAAAACAAATTTCTGCTGTTTTCAGCCACCTAGTTTGTGGCACTTAGTCACAGCAGCTCTGGGAAACTAGCATGTCTCCTCACCTAGAGGCTGGGACACTGGATTGACCCTTCATCGTTCTTCTTCTCTAGCCACAATTGCCTCATCTTCTCGGTGGGCTCCCACACTCCCCCACTCCAGGCCTTTAAAAGTTGGAGTTTCTCCAGGGTCAGCCCCACGTCATCTCTTCTCACATTAAATACTCTCTTCAGACCCTCGCATGGACCCCAATTCAATTACTATCTATATGCTGATGACTCCCAAATTTCTATCTCCAGTCCACCCTCCCCTCTGGATGCCCAGGTTCAACTGATTACTTGACATCTCCGCTTAGATAATTTAAAGCCCTTTAAACTCAAATCCAAAAACGAAAGTCACCACTCCCTTGAACTGAGCCCTGCTACCATGACTCTCATCCCAGTGAATGGCACCTCTGGCCATTCAGATCCACAGGCCACACACTTGGGATTCATTCTGAGCTATTTCCTCTCCTTCACTCTCCATTTGAAATCCATCATCAAATCCCATCTTTTTCTCCTCCTAGAAATCTCTTGAATTTCTCATATCTTCCCACTTTTCTCCATTCTCCCCCTCCACTACTCTGGTTTATCCCACTGTAGTGGCTTAACCCAGTGTAGTGATTCACTCCCTGAATTACCTCAATAGCCTCTTGACTAGTCCCAGATCCACTCTCGCCATCCTTCAGTTTGTTCCCAGTACTGCAAACCAAATGACTTACACATGCAAATACGACCCTTTCATCCCCATGTTTAACAACTTCTGTGGTTTCCCATTCCATTCATTTTACGGTAAGACCAAAATCCTAAATCAGGTTTACAGGACTGTGCAGAATGGCCCTGTGGACTCTCCCAGTCTCACCTCCCTTGCTCTTGGTGCCCCAGTCACAGAAGTGCTCCTTGTTGTTTCTGATCAACATGATCCTGCCCAAGGCAGGGCCTGTGTGCAGGCTGCTTCCTCATCCTACAGAACCCACCAACCCCCTTCACCCAATGTGTCCTCATCAGCCAATCTTGGCTCAACACAACCCCTTCCTCAGAGTATCTTTCCTTGACTTCACCAAAGCTCTCCTCTTGTCCTTCTCTCAGCACCTTATTCATCTCCATCATAGCACCTACGCATAATGTGTAATTATACATCTGTGTAATTACTGGATTAATATGAATGAGTGACCCCAGTGAGGGCTGAGTCCATGCCTATGCTGCTCCTGCTGTATCCCCAGCTCTTAGAACAGTGCCTGGCACATATTAAAACATTCAGTAAATATCTGTTAAATAATTTAAAGAATGGTAAGCAAATGCCAGAGAAGTTGTTGTGTTTTAATGGTCTATCATACTGTAATACAAATTATTTCTCTAGCAAGATATATACAGTACTTTTTGATTTCCAAAAAGCTTCTACTCCAGCATACAACAATACAACAAATGTAATGCATACTACAAATGTAATAGGCAATAGTTCAATTTAAGTTAACTGGATTTTAAATACATTTAATCTAATATGGTATTGTTAATAGTTATGCTGCCATAAGCAATTATGAACTTATGTCACTGAAAATTTCAAATCTGATTAGCAATAACTCTCCTACTCATATTCTAATAGTCCACATATAAGTGAAAGTTAACAGTTTCGTATGTGATGTACCGTTGGTTTTACCACCAATGCTTCCTTCTCCATTATCAACCTATTTGATATGAAAAATAAAATGTGCTAATAACAGAAAAATAAAGTAGTGATGTCACATCACCAAAATGAAAGAGTCACTTACCCCAGCCCTATTAAATTTTCCTCAAACCTTTCTGACTGCCTATGTTGGTATGCTGCTGAGGGAACAGCAGAAGCCACACGTACGACTTCCATGAAAACTTACACGCACAACAGATGGCAACAACCATGAGTGCATACAACAGATTTTATTCTCATTAGATGTAATGATAAAAGACAATGTAACATCTTTTCTAAAAGACAAGAAGATGTTAGTATTTCTGAATTTATTTTATTAAAGAAGAAACTTATAAACAACTTTTAATGATATGTATGAACCCAAAAGCTGCCACAACCTTGGACATGATTTACAAAGGAGTCCAAAGTAGACAACAATGCTATGCAATATCAGAAACCATCATATCTGTGGATCAGATAAACAAATTCTGGGTCTCAAGTGGCTTTATACACACTCTCAAAACCATAACATTTTCCCATAATTTTAACAAGAACAGTGTTAGTAATGAAATAAAACCACCACAATAGTCTCTCTATTCCCTTCTTAATACTTTCCTCCTTCAACTCTCTCATTACCTACCTTCTTATTTATTTTTTCTTCTAAACAAACACAGTTAAAACTGCAAAGTACCTGGGCGCCTGGGTGGCTCAGATGGTTAAGCGTCTGCCTTCGGCTCAGGTCATGATCCCAGAGTCCTGGGATCGAGTCCCGCATCAGGCTCCCTGCTCTGCGGGGAGCCTGCTTCTCCCTCTGCCTCTCTCTCTCTCTCTCTCTCTCTCTCTCTGACTCTCATGAATAAATAAATAAAACATTAAAAAAAAAAAACTGCAAAGTACCTGCACAGTTGGATGCAAATGTTACTTCCTTCTAGCTAGGTCCACCTGGTCCTTACACGCCCAACCAGTCCTCTTTCTTTGGATTCAATTTTGAATTTGGATGCTAGTAAGAAAAATCTATTAGAGCATTAACAGTCTAGATGCCTCCTAACTACAGCATTTGGATATTCTGCAATAGCTTTCAACTCTGCAGGCCTGTGGCTGTTCCAGAATTGTCTCCCCAAGATCCATGCCCGTGAGGTCATGCCCATCTGACCTCTTTGGAACCTGATACCCTGAAGCACAGCTGTAAAAATAGAGCACCCTTTAATGACTTCTTATTCACCAATAAACATACCATTCTTTCAATTTTAGAGAACACATTCATATAATTACACAAATACAAGATGAAATGAATGAATGAGCCCGAACTTACATAAATGTATTTTCCCATGACCAAGCAATGTAAAACCAAACTCTGACACATAAAGGTTCCAATAATTCAGAAAATGGTGAAGGCATAAAAGCAATTTAACTGAGAGAGCCTGAATCATTCTCACCATGGGTTTTTTAATATAAACATCTGCAATTAACACCTTCATGTGTTTCTCCATAGTATATAATTCCCTGCATATTATTTCACATGCAATTTATTTTTTTTAAAGATTTATTTATTTGAGAGAGCGAGAATGAGAGAGAGAGCACATGAGAGGGGAGAGGGTCAGAGGGAGAAGCAGGCTCCTCGCCGAGCAGGGAGCCCAATGCGGGACTCGATCCCGGGACTCCAGGATCATGACCTGAGCCGAAGGCAGTCGCTTAACCAACTGAGCCACCCAGGCGCCCTTCACATGCAATTTAGATTATTTTATTCTTAAGACATATTTTTCTGATTTGAATTAAATGTCTCGTTAACTCCAAGCCATGCCGTTAACACTACCTAGTTTAATGACATCTTCATTCATTCACACTGACTTTCTTAATTCCAGTGTATTTTCAATGTGTTTTTATTTTAAGTCTTACAGAAACATAAGCAAAAAGAACTCTCAAAAATTAAAAAGACTTTTGAAGTAGGTCACTTCAATTCTCTTTTTTTTAATGAGATAAGATTTAATAAAATAAAAAAGGAAAATTAAAACACAGTACTGTTAAATGTCCTTTGTGTGACATATATATTCTCTGCCCTCTTCCTGATAATAGTGGTTTTCTTCATCAGTTTCAGAGCTTTATATTTTAATATTTGATTCATAATTTAAAAATAAAAATGTGAATAAATAAAAGTGAAAATAATAAAGTGAATCCTATTCAATCCTCATTGGTGAGATCAGAAATGTGCTTTCCCAGCTGCAACTCAAATCAGGAACTGCCTACAGATATCTCCTAAGTAAATCTAGGTCCCCAGTAATCTCACATACAGGCCTTTTTTTCTGAAGCACAATGCTCTTCATAAAACACATGTCCTAATGCAGTTCATAGCATGGATAAGTTTATCATTATTCTATTCAAAGACCCACTTTTATAATAGCCTCTTATTTGCCTTCTACAAATAAACATGTTCAAACCTATTAAGCTTGTGGAAATAAAATGAAATATACATTATCTATGCAAGAACAGTAAAGCACATTTTTAAATACTGATAATTAAATTTATTTAAAAAGATACCTTGACATGACTTTCATTCTGTCCCTTTCACATTTAGTATGACTATCCTCAAATAATATTAACAAATTATAAATAAACATATACCAACTTCACATTGGTCACTAGTGTTAAATGGCAAAGAATCTTGGGGCTCAATGGAGGTAGAAATGTCTCAGAGAATTACTTATTCATAAGATGTAACCACAGACCTTAACAAACATTCTACATATTCTTTATTCTGGGTAAAAACAGAAGCTTTCTTTTTTTTAAAAAGATTTACTTTATTTTTTTGAGAGAGAGAGTGCAAGTGGTGGGAGGGGCGGAAGGAGAGGGAGAGAGAGAGAATCTCCAGCAGACTCCACACTGAGTGCAGTGTCCGATGTGGGGCTTGATCTCACAACCCTGAGATCATGACCTGAGCAGAAATCAAGAGTCAGACACCCAGGTACCCCAACAAAGAGCTTTCTTGAGCATGTTATGTCTCTAAATATAAACTTTTTAAGAAAATACAAACACAGAGAAGGTAACATATCTGGACTTCATCCATAGAAAAAAAAAGATTTCACTTGGGGTCCTCCTGTCTTCCTTGAGTCTTTCATGAAGGTGCAGCCCTGGACATCTAGACCTCTTAATATCTAGACAAGAGACCAACCTCCTTCTCCTTCCTACCTAGATCCTATCATCAAAATTCTAGTTATCTACATCTTCTGGGGAACTGACACTGGAACTACATTCCCTTTTCAGTGGGGAACTTACCTACTGAAAAATGTAAACAAACCTCTTTGGTCCTCAACTAGGCCTCATATCGCAATAAAGCACAGCATTAGTCAATGTTCCAAACTACAAGTTACAGAAACTAACTCAAGCCAGCTTGAGCAAACAAAGGAGTTAGTTTGATAGATACTGGGTTATCATATAGAATCTAAAGGCAGCTGGGCTTTATCCAGGGGCTGGAGCCAAGAAGTGTGAAACTACAGGATCAGGAGAGACTCTCTCTCTGCTCATCTCTGCTCTATTCTGCTGCATTCTTTTTCTCTTTGTTTATCTTTTGACCCACTTAACCCTGTTCTCCCAATCCCTCACCCCTGCCTGTCTGACTTACTTCACTTAGCATAATGCCTTCCATGATCCATTCATGTTGTCTCAAATGGCAAGATTTCATTCCTTTTTATGGCTAAATAATATTAGATAGATGATAGATTATAGATAGATTATAGATATTATAGACATGTATGTATATATATATGTGATATATATGTATATATTTTCTTTATATGTTCATCCATTGATGGATGCCTAGGTTGTTCCCAAGTCTTGGCTATTGTACATAATGCTTCAATGAACATGGGATGCATAGATCTTTTCAAGTTAGTATTTTCATTTTCTTCAGATAATACCAAAAAAGTAGAATTAATGATATGGTAGTTCTATTTTTAATTTTTTGAGGAAACTCCATACTGTTTTCCATAGTGGCTGTACCAATTTATCATTCCATGGACAGTGCACAGGAGTTCCCTTTTCTCGACATCCTTGCCAACAGTTATTTCTTACCTTTTTGATAACAGCCATTCTAACGTGTGAGGTGATACCTCATTGTGGTTTTGATTTGCATTTCCCTAGTGATTAATGATATGGAGCATCTTTTCATGTACCTGTTGGCCATCTGCGTATCTTCTTTAATGAAATGCCAATTCAGATCTATCTATTTTTTAATCAGATTGGGTTTGGGGGGGTGTTTTTTGCTTTTTGTTTATGGGTTTTTTGCTATTGAGTTGTATGAGTTCTTCATATATTTTGGATATTAGCCCCTTGTCAGATATATGATGTACAAATACTTTCTCTCATTCAATAGGTTGCCTTTTCATTTTGTTGATGGTTCCTTTTGCTATACAGAAGCTTATTAGTATGATGTAGTCTCACTTACTTATATTTGCTTTTGTTGCTTTTACTTTTGGTGTCGGGTTTAAAAAATTATCTCCAAGACCTATGTCAAATTGCTTACCACCTATGTTTTCTTCTAGGTGCTTTATGGTTTCAGGTCTTAAATTCAATTCTTTAAACCATTTTAAACTTACTTTTGTTTATGGTATAAGGTAGTATATTGATTGATTCATTCATTCATTTGCATGCACAGTTTTCCCAACACCATTTATTGAAGAGACTGTCTTTTCCCCATTGTATATTCCTGGCTCCTTTGTTGTAAATCAATTTAACACGTATACATGGTCCATTTATGAATTTTCTATTCTGTTCCATTGATCCACGTGTCTATTTTTATGCCAACACCATACTGTTCTAGTTACTACAGCTTCACAATATAGTTTGAAATCAGGAAGTGTGATGCCTCCGGCTTCATTCTTCTTTCTCAAGATCACTGATTGAGATTTCTTTTTTGTGGTTCCAGAAAAATTTTAGGATTATTTGTGAATTTTTAAAAATGCCATTGTAATTTTGGTAGAGACTGCATTGAATCCATACATTGCTTTGAGTAATACAGACATTTTAACAATATTTATTCTACTAACCCATGAGCATAGAACATTTTTTTCTATTTTTTGTGTGTGTCTTCTTCAATTACACTAATGTCTTGTAGTTTTCAATATACAAGTCTTTTACTTACGTGGTTAAATTTATTTCTAGGTGTTTTATTCTTTTTGATGCAATTGTAAATGGGATTGTTTTCTTTATTTTTCTTTCTGATAATTCATTATTAGTCTACAGAAACACAAAAGACTTTTGGGTATTGATTGTGTATATCCTGAAAACTTACTGAATAAGTTTATTAGTTCTAACTGTTCTTTGATGGAGTCTTGAGGGTTATCTATATATATATTACCATGCCATCTGCAAATAGTGATAGTTTTACTTCTACCTTTCCAATTTGGATACATTTTATTTCTCTTTCTTGCCTAATTGCTCTGGCTAGGTCTTCCAATACTATGTTGAATAAAAGTGGTAGGAGTGGGCATCTTTGTCTTATTCTGATCTTAGAGGAAAGACTTTCAGCTTTTCACCACTGAGCATGATGTTAGCTGTGGGCTTGTCATATATGACCTTTATTATATTCAGGTATGTTCCCTCTATACCCACTTTGTTTAAAGTTTTTATCATAAATGAATGTTGAATTTTGTCAAATAATATTTCTGTATCTACTGAGATGATCATATGACTTTTGTCCTTCATCTTGTTAATGTGGTGTATCACATTGACTGATTTATAGATGTTGAACCATCCTTGCCTCACTAGAATAAATCCCACTTGATCATGATGTATGATCCTTTTGATGTATTAATGAATTCAGTTTGCTAATATTTTGTTGAGGATTTTTTTTTAAAGATTTATTTATTTATTTTGAGAGAGTGAGAATGAGAGAGAGAGAGAGAGAGAGAGAACACATGAGAGGCGGGAGGACCAGAGGGAGAAGCAGGTTCCTCGCTGAGCAGGGAGCCTGATGCGGGACTCGATCCCGGGACTCCAGGATCATGACCTGAGCCGAAGGCAGTCGCTTAACCAACTGAGCCACCCAGGCACCCCTTGTTGAGGATTTTTATAAGAAATATTAAATTGTAATTTTATTTTCTTGAGGCATCCTTGTCTGGTTTTGGTATCAGGATAATACTGGCTCAGAAAATGAGTTTGGAAGAGTTCCCTTCTCTTCGATTTTTTGGAAGAGTTTGAGAAGAATTGATATTAGTTCCTTGAATATTTGGTAGAATTCACCAGGGAAACTGTCTGATCCTGGACTTTTGTTTGTTGGGAGGTTTTTGATTACTAATTCAATCTCTTTACTAATAATCAGTCTGTTCAGATTTTCTATTCCATCATGATTCAGTCTTGGTGGGTTGTATGTTCCTAGGAATTAATCCATTTCTTCTACGTTGTCCAATTTGTTGGCATGTAACCATTCAGAGTAGTGTCTTATAATCATTTATATTTCTGTGGTATTAGTTGTAACATATCCTCTTTCATTTCTGATTTCATTTAATTGAGTCCTCTCTCTTTTTCATTTGGTGAGTGTAGCTAAAGTCTTGTCAATTTTATCTTTTCAAACAAACAGCTCTTAGTTTCACTGATCTCCTCCATTGTCTTTTTAGTGTCTATTTCATTTATTTCTGCTCTAATCTTTGTTATTTACTTCCTTCTGCTGCTTCGGGCTTTATTTGTTCTCTTCTAGTTCCATGTGGTGTAAATTTAGGTTCTTTATTTGAGACTTCTCTTGTTTCTTAAATTAAGGTAGGCATTTAACACTATGAACTTCCCTCTTAGAAGTGCTTTTGCTCCAACCAACAAATTTTGATATATTTCCATTTTCATTTGTCTCAAGGTAGTTTTTTATTTCTCTTTTGAATTTTTCGTTGGCCCGTTAATTGTGCAGTAACATGTTGTCTAATCTCCACATATCTGTAAATTTTCCAGTTTTCTTCATGTAATTTTTAGTTTCATATCACTGTGGTCAGAAAAGCTGCTTGATATGATTTCAATCCTTTTAAGTTTATTAAGACTTGTTTTGCAGCCTAACATATGATCTATCCTGGAAAATGTTCCACATGCACTTGAGAAGAAGGCATATTCTGTTGCTTTTGGATGGAATATTCTGTATATATCTGTTAAGTCCATCTGGTATAACATGTCATTTAAGGCCAATGTTTCCTTATTGATTTTACAGTTTATTTATAAAAGCTTATAAACTTTTTAAAAGCACTTCTACAGTAGGAAAGTTAGTTTCATCATATAAAGTTATTCTGTTAATCGTAAAGACACAGTAGTTCAATCTTTCTATAAGCCCAGCAAACATATCCCTTCATATTCATTTCATCTCCAAAGATAAAAATTATAGTGCCATTTTGCATAACTGCTATAGAAGGTCACAGAGTTACAGCTAAAAAGAAAGTCACAAACTTAAGAATAATGCCCTTTCCTATCATTTTCTGCTACTTATTTATCACTAAGTTATCTTGGTATCCAAAGTAACTTGACACAAATCCTGGCTTCCAAAGGTCAGGGCAATCAGAGCTGCCCTTTGTCCATTGGTTCACAGCTTTACAAGTGGTATTTCCCTCTGGCACCATCCAGACAACACATGTGTGTTAGGATTACCACCCCCCAATAAACTAAGAACCCCCATGACCCACACCAGAAGGAGAGCTCATTTGGCTATTCCCCAACTACCAAGAAACAAATTCCTAAATACATCTTAAACTTCAAGAATTTAGGAGCTGAATTATTATTTGAAATAACAGAAGAATAGAAGAATAACTTCCCTTAGAAAAATAAAAGGAAGCTATCACCACAGGGAGAAAAAAAATTTAATCAGATTTATTCATCTGCATAAAGTAATAATTAATCTGTCTTTTTTCTCTAATTCATTCATCTATTCACCCATATATCCAACAAATGTATAATGAACTACAATAAGGAAGTAGGCTGCATTCATGATAAAAAGGAGCGTGGGGTTTGAATGCAGCTGCCTTTTAAACTCAAGATCCAAGACACACTAGCTTAAACAAGCTAGTTAACCTCTCTGTTCTTCAGTTTTTTCATCTATAAAATGAGACTAACAGACCTGATTCATAAGAAGATAAAGATTTAAAGATGTGAGATAATAAGATACAAGAATTAAATTAACACAGTAAGGTGCCTAGCACACACTCTCTC